TGCGGATTGTCTCTGGGCACTGGGGATTGTCTCTGGCACTGTGGATTGTCTCTGGCACTGTGGATTGTCTCTGGCACTGTGGATGGTTCTGGGACTGCGGATTGTCTCTGGCACTGCGGATTGTCTCTGGCACTGCGGATTGTCTCTGGCACTCTCTCTGGCACTGCGGATTGTCTCTGGCACTGTGGATGGTTCTGGTACTGCGGATTGTCTCTGGCACTGTGGATGGTTCTGGCACTGCGGATTGTCTCTGGCACTGGCTGGTATGATTGTCTCTGGCACTGCGGATTGGGCCTGGTGTCTCTGGCACACTGCTGCGGATTGTCTCACTGTGGATTGGCACTCTGTGCGATTGTCTCTGCACTGTGGATTGTTCTCTGGCACTGTGATTGTCTGGCAGCTCTGGCACTGCGGATTGTCTCTTGGCACTGGTTGCGGATTGTCTCTGGCAACTAGGCGGATTGTCTCTGGCACTGTGGATTGTCTTCTGGCAACTGTGGATGGTTCTGCACTTGGGATTGCTCTGGCACTTGTGGATGTTCTGGTACTTGCGGATTGTCTTGGCACTGTGGATGGTTCTGGCAACTGCGATTGTACTGCATGCACTGTGATGGTTCTGGTACTGCGGATTGTCTCTGGCACTGTGATGGTTCTGGCAAGGTTCTGGGCGGATTGTCTCTGGCACTGTGATTGGTTGGTTCTGGCACTGTGGATGTTCTGGGCACTGCGGATTGTCTCTGGCCCTGTGGATGTTCTGGGTACTTACGCGGATTGTCTCTGGCACTGCGGATTGTCCTGGCACTGTGGGATGTATCTGGCACTGTGGTGGTTTCTGGCACTGCGGATTGTCTCTGGCACTGTGGATGGTTCTGGTACTGCGGATTGTCTCTGGCACTGTGGATGGTTCTGGCACTTGCGATTGTCTCTGCTGCGACTGCGGATTGTCTCTGGCACTGGTGGATCTGGCACTGCGGATTTCTCTGGCACTGTGGATGGTTCTGCACTGCGGATTGTCCTCTGGCATGTGGATGGTTCTGGTCTTCGCACTTGGATTGTTCGGTGCGGATTGTCTCTGGCATGTGGAGTGTCTCTGGGCACTGTGGGATTGTCTCTGGCACTGTGAATTCGTCTCTGGCACTTGCGGATCTGGCCTCTGGCACTGTGGCATGTCTCTGGCACTGGTGGACTCTCTAGGCACTGGCGGATTGTCTCTGGCACTGTGGATGGTTCTGGCACTGCGGATTGTCTCTGGCACTGTGGATGCTACTGCGGTCCGGCACTGTGGATGGTTCTGGCACTGCGGATTGTCTCTGGCACTGTGGATGGTTCTGTATCTGTTCTGCGGATTGTGGCACTGCGGATTGTCTCTGGCACTGTGGATTGGTTCTGGCACTGCGGATTGTCTCTGGCACTGTGGGATGGTCTTGGGATGTCTCTGGCACTGCGGATTGTTCTGCACTGTGGATTGTCTCTGGCACTGGTGGATTGTCCTCTGGGCACACTGCGGATTGGTCTCTGCACTGTGGATGGTTCTGGCACTGCGATTGTCTCTGGCACTGTGGATGGTTCTGGACTGCGGATTGTCTTCTGGCACTGTGGATGGTTCTGCCCACGCGGATTGTCTCTGGCACTGTGGATGGTTCTGGTACTTGCGGATTGTCTCTCTTGGCACTGCGGATTGTTCTCTGCACTGCGGATTGTCTCTGGCCACTGGTGGATTTCTCTGGCACTGCGGATGTCTCTGGCACCTGTGATTTGTCTCTGGCACTGCGGATTGTCTCTGGCACTGTGGACTGTTCTTTCTGGCACTGCGGATTGTCTGTTCTCTGGCCATGCGGATTTGGTCTCTGGCACTGCTGGATTTCTCTGGCACTGCGGATTGTCATCTGGTGCTTCTTGGGCACTCTGCTGGATCTTGCGGATTGTCTCTGGCACTGTGGATGGTTCTGGTACTGCGGATTGTCTCTGGCACTGCGGATTGTCTCTGGCACTGTGGATTGTCTCTGGCCACTGTAGGATTGGTCTCTGGCACTGCGATTGTCTCTGGCACTGTGATGGTTCTGCTGGCACTGGTGCGTACTGCGGATTGTCTCTGGCACCTATTGGCATGGTTCTGGCACAGCGGATTGTGCCTCTGGCACTGTGGATAGGTTCCTGGGCATTGCTGGATCATACTGCGGATTTGTCTCTGGGCTGGGATGGTCTGGCACTGGTGGAATAGCTGGACTGTGTGCGTTCTGGGCACGCGGATTTGCTCTCTGGCTACTGCACTGGATTGTCTCTGGCACTGTGGATTGTCTCTGGCACTTGGATGGTTTCTGGCACTGCGGATTGTCTCTGGGCACTGTGGAGTTCTGGTACTGCGGATTGCTCGGCAGGATTGTCTCTGGCATGGCATTGCTCTGGCACACTGGCAGATTGTCTCTGGCACTGTGGATCTGCGGATTGTCTCTGGCACTGGCGGATGTCTCTGGCATGTGGATGTTCTGGTACTATGGCGGACTTGTCTCGCACTGCGGATTGTCTCTGGCAACTGTGGATGTTCTGGCCCTTGCGGGTCTCTGGCACTGTTCAGCTCTGGCACTGTCCGGCGGATTGTCTTCTGGGCACTCGTGATTGTCTCTGGCACTGCGGTTGTCTCTGGCACTGCGGATTGTTTCTGCACTGTGGATGGTCTGGCACTGCGGATTGTGTCTCTGGCACTGTTCAGCTCTCTGGCACTTGCGGATTGTCTCTGGCACTTGGTGGATTGTCTCTGGCACTGAGGATTTGTCTCTGCAACTGTGGATGTGTTCTGGCACTGTGGATTGTCTCTGGCACTGTGGATTGTCTCTGGCACTGTGGATTGTCTCTGGCACTGTGGATGGTTCTGGCACTGCGGATTGTCTCTGGCACTGTGTGCGGATTGTCTCTTGGCACTGTGGATTGTCTCTGGCACTGTGGATTTCTTCTGGCACTGCTGTGGATTGTCTCTGGCACTGTGGATGGTTCTCTGGCACTTGGATGGTCTCGGCACTGCGGATTGTCTCTGGCAATGGATTGTCTCTGGCTCTGGCACTGCGGATTGTCTCTGGCACTGTGGATGTTCTGGTACTGCGATGTTCTACTGGTCTCTGGACTGCGGATTTGTCTCTGGCACTGTGGATGGTCTCTGGCACTGGGCGGATGTCTCTGGCACTGCGGATTGTCTCTGGCACTGCGGATTGTCTCTGGCACTGCGGATTGTCTCTGGCACTGTGGATTGTTCTGGCACTGCGGATTGTCTCTGGCACTGTTTCTCTGGCATTGGTTCTTGGCACTGGATGGGATTGTCTCTGGCACTGGATTGTCTCTGGCACTGTGGATTGTCTCTGGCACATTGGTCTCTGGCACTGTGGATTGTCTCTGCACTGTTCAGCTCTGCACTTGCGGATTGTCTCTGGCACTGTGGATTGTCTCTGGCACTGTTCAGCTCTGGCACTGTTGTCTCTGGCATGGATTGTCTCTTGCACTGGGGTTCGGCTCTGGCTCTGTGGATTGCCTTTGGCATTGTGGTTCGGTTCTGGCACTGTTCAGCTCTGGAACTGGGGATTGCCTCTGGCACTGTGGTCCGGCTCTGGCCCTGTAGTTTATTCTTGGCACTTCCTTCCTGTCGCTGGCACTCCTTGTCTCTCTCTCTCTCTCATGTTCGTGTTGGCACTGCTTGTCGTCTATTCTCTTTGTCTCGTTCTTCTTCCTGTTCATCTCGTCTATTCCTCCTTGTCTCTTTCTCCTTACTATTAGCCTCCATCGCTGGCACTGTCATTCGTCTCATCTTCTTTTCTTGTTGTCTCATCCTTCTTGGCTCTTCCTCTTTCTTGCCCGTCTCCTCCTCCTTATCTCTCCCTTTTTCTTGTTCGTCTCATCTTCCATATCTCTTCCTCCTTCTCGTTCGTCTCATCCTTCCCATCTCTCCCTCCTTCTCGTTCATCTCATCTCCTTCTCGTTCATCTCATCCTCCCCTTTTCTTCCCTTCTTCCCGTTCCTCTCAATTCACTGTTTCGCGCCCCTAAAATTGGCAGCGCCCGACCTATCGTGTGAGAAGGAGCCCGGCTGCTTCCCTGGCCATCCAAAGGGACTCAGAGCTTCTTAAAGTTATGGACGCTTTTTCGGTTTCGTCTCCGGGCCACTTGAGGAAACCGCTTGAAAATTTTACCTTGCTTTTAGAGGTAGGGGCTTTATCCGATGGCCTTTTGTTGTTTGTTTTTTTTCATTTTTTCTTTTCTTTCTTTTCTTTTTTTCATTATCAGATATTCACTTTAGAGTTTGATTTTTAAAAGATGTGCGCGTATATTAAAATGTTGCATGGGGAGATACATGTAATATATATATATATATATATATATATATATATATATATATATATATATATATATATATATATATATATATATATATATATATATATATATATAAATTTGAGAGTAAACGTTTTAAAATGTGTTTGATGATAATGTACGTTTTCTGTAATACTTAATCTGAAAAGAAGATCGTATCAGGTCTTTGTGACATTGATAAATATGCGGTCTCTAAAGCATACTGTAATATCAGAATTCTTTGGAACAAAATTTCAGCAAGAGTTGGAAAGCATCATGAATCTTTTAGCTTTGTATGATCAGGAGAACATTTTTATTCTATTTCAGAACCATAGCACAAACACGCTGACTCATTCTCTCTCTCCCTCTCTCTCTTTCTCTCTCTCTCTCTCTCTCTCTCTCTCTCTCTCTCTCTCTCTCTCTCTCTCACTCTCCTCTCTCTCTCTCTCTCTCTCTCTCTCTCTCTCTCTCTCTCTCTCTCTCTCTCTCTCTCTCTCTCTCTCTCTCTCCTCTCTCTCACACACACACACACACACACACACACACACACACTTATACAAGCATATAAATAATATACACTCTCACACAAACACAAAAACTCACATATACACATTAACAGATGGATGTTATTACTATAGATATAAAAAAAATATTACGTATCATAGGCATTTTCTGTGTTTGCGCGATGATGGTGATGATGATGGTGATGATGATTATGATGATGGTGGTGATGATGATAATGATGATGACGATGATGATGATGATGATAATGATGATGTGATGATGATGATGGTGATGATGATGATGATGATGACGATGGATGATGACGATGATGATGATTATGATGATGGTGATGATGAGGAGGACGATGGTGAAGATGACGATAGTGATGATAATAATAACAATAATAACCGCAATAATGATAATAGTTATAACAACTAATACTAAAAGGATAAAAAAAAATCCTTTACGACCCCCGGGCCCTTTCTCACAAACAACACGAGTAAACCTTAGGCAGAGACACTAAGCTTTCGGGGGGAAAATAGAGCTATGAGAAAATCCCCCTTATCCTTATTGGACCTGAAGGACTCCCAGACATGGCATTATGCACGCAGCGCGGGGGGGGGAGCGGCTAGGGAAGGGGGGGGGGAGGGAGGATCTTAGATAAGGGCATAAGATGAAGGAATATATATTATTTACGAGAGGAATGTCAGACCAAGGCGAGGAAAGCACAAAGTCGACGGCAGAGAATGACAGTTAATATAGTCTCTGTTGCTTGACTCTAGTTTCGTGATCGGATCGTTCATTTTCATTATTTCATTTATTCGTTCTTTATTCGTGATCGATTCCTTTATATATTTTTTTCGTCTCTTTGTGTCAGGATATTGAGAGAGAATGATAGACGGGCAGAGACATAGACACAGACAAACAGACCTAAATAATTTATACACTGAAAACTGACAGACCTAAAGAATGTAGACAGACAGACTACAGAAGACCTAAAGAATGTAGACAGACAGACCTAAAGAATGTAGACAGACAGACCAGACAGACAGACCTAAAGAAGACAGACCTAAAGAATGTAGACAGACAGACCTAAAGAATGTAGACAGACAGACCTAAAGAATGTAGACAGAGATGTAGACAGACAGACCTAAAGAATGTAGACAGACAGACCTAAAGAATGTAGACAGACAGACCTAAAGAATGTAGACAGACAGACCTAAAGAATGTAGACCTAGACAGACAGACCTAAAGAATGTAGACAGACAGACCTAAAGAATGTAGACAGACAGACCTAAAGAATGACAGACAGACCTAAGAATGTAGACAGACAGACCTAAAGAATGTATACACTGAAAGCTTAACTCTTGTGAGGAGTTGATTTGGTCATAATGCACGTGTGTAGATAGACAGTCAGTGGACAGAAATGTAGATAGGTGAAAAGAGAGGGAGACTGACTGATTGATATTCAAACATTAGTCAGAACAAAATGTCATAAACGCTTATGAACTATCTGCGTTACCTTCTAAAGTTACCATATCGTCGCCCTTTTTTCATGTGTTTTCGTTTTTTTTTTTTTTTTAATGGATTCAATGTCTTTTTGTTCCCTAATTGATGCCATGTACTTCTGCGTAATGTAATTATTGCGCTTTGCTATATTTATTCGTTCTAGGTTTAGTTCTGATTGAACCTAAAACTTATTTCTCTGTCTCTGTCTGTCTGTCTGTCTGTCTCTCTTTCTCTCTCTCTCTCTCTCTCTCTCTTCTCTCTCTCTCTCTCTCTCTCTCTCTCTCTCTCTCTCTCTCTCTCTCTCTCTCTCTCTCTCTCTTCTCTCTCTCTCTCTCTCTCTCTCTCTCTCTCTCTCTCTCTCTCCCTCTCTCTAAAAAAAAAAGAAAAAGATAATAATAATAATAATGATATTCATAATAACAACAACAACAACAACAATAATGATAATGAGAGAACAATCTGATTCAGAATATGGTGAGTTTTTTTTTTTTTTTCTTTCTTTTCGTTTCTTTTCATTTTACGGAACACAACTATTGCATTCAGAACAAGTCGAAGTATAATGGTTCGCTTTATCCTAACTGTAGTGGTCCAGCTGCTTCTAATGTTTATATATACTTTACTCCGCCTATTTCAGTGTCTAATTCAGTTTCCGCGGTGTGTATTTTTGGCGGATATTGCTTCCACATTCTCCATTAGTCTCTACATTCGTTGGTTGTATTTTTTGGGTTGTTTTTTTTTTTTTGTTTTTTTGTAACTTTTCTCGAATTATTATACAATCTTTTTCATGTATTATCGACGGATTTCCTTTTTCTTCATTTACTCTTTTTTCTTAGTAAATTTACATTTAATTGCTGGAGACAACTATGACCAAAAAATAAAAAAATAAAAAATAAATAAAAATAAAAAAAACATGCAAAAGATATTATCTCAGTTTCTCTCCTATCCTTTTAGGCAAACTTTTTTTTTATATTATTTCGCATCTCCTTGCCCTCCAAATTGTTTTGAATCTAACACAGCTGCGGAATTCCAGGATTTCCAACGTAACTGAATATTCTGTATATAGTTCTTACGCAACATATCTCTATTAAGTTATGCTTAATATATACCCTGTGACTCGACCATTCAGCGATAGTCAAATGTTTTTTTTAGAGTATGTATATATATGTGTCTGTGTCTGTGTCTGTGTGTGTGTATGTGTGTGTGTGTGTGTCTGTGTGTATGGGTGTGTGTGTGTGTGTGTGTGTGTATACGACTACCCGTAAGGACGTACTTCCCCTTCCTACAGACATACAGCGAATGGAATTATGAGCGAATCAGTCTTCCCTTTGAATATCTCTTTCTTCTTTCGAACCCGTACGAAAGGCCTCTCTCCTTATAACGTAGGGATGTGAGGATTATTCAGTTAGTATCTTGTGTGTTCCCGGGGAAGGAGGCTGCGATTCACGTAGGTCAGTCCTTGTTTTTTGTTTGTTTGCTTGCTTGTTTTTTTTTTTTTTTTTTTTTTTTTTTTTTGTTTTGGTTGTTTTCATTCGTACTACTTATATTGAGTTGATTTTTCATAATAGCAGAGAGAGACAAAGACCACTCAGAGAGAGAGAGAGAGAGAGAGAGAGAGAGAGAGAGAGAGAGAGAGAGAGAGAGAGAGAGAGAGAGAGAGAGAAGAGAGAGAGAGAGAAAGAGAAGACAGAGAGAGACAGAGACAGACAGAAGAGACAGAGAGAGAGAGAGAGAGAGAGATAGAGAGAGAGAGAGAGAGAGAGAGAAGAGAGAGAGAGAGAGAGAGAGAGAGAGAGAGAGAGAGAGAGAGAGAGAGAGAGAGAGAGAGAGAGAGAGAAGAGAGAGAGGAGAGAGAGGAGAGAGAGAGAGAGAGGAGAGAGGGAGAAAGAGGAGAGAGAGAGAGAGAGAGAGAGAGAGAGAGAGAGAGAGAGAGAGAGGCGAGAGAGAGAGAGAGAGAGAGAGAGGAGAGAGAGAGAGAGACGCGGGCACACACACGTATGTATGTGTATATATATATACGTATATTATTAATTCGTATGAATAATGGGTTAATAGACACGTGGATTTTGAGGAGAGATCGGATCTGACAAAAGAAATTAAGGAAGATCTGCCAATCCACAGTAGCCGAGTA